CCCCAAAACCCCAAAACCCCAAAACCCCAAAACCCCATAAATATAAAATAGACAACAAACAAGTAAGAATAGAAAATAATGAAAACTGATCAAATCTATAATTTTTAATAGGTATAATATGAGTGATAAAAAGGATTCAAAGAAAAATCCATAAGATAAATTGGATGCTATACTTGATGGTGATGAAACAGGTGATGAAGGAGATATTAAAATAGATATTAGTGATCCTCCAATGGTGTAGTAAAATCTAAATGCAAATCAAAAAGAAGCTGAACTTGATGACTTACCTAATTCTCACCTCTAAGTCTTTGATCCTATTCCTAATCATGGCACCAATACAGAACATGCAAAGGAGAAAAGAAAAAGATAGGATGCATTATAAGAATACAAGAATTTAAAGGCTAAAATAAAAGAATCATCTAAGCTCAATATACTTTTCATTATGGATATCACTGGATCTATGGACTCTTACCTCCTAGAGACAGTTAATAGCATAAATCTGATCATGGAATATGCAACAAAAATTTGCGAGGGACAAGTTTTAATCGGATTTCTTGGCTATAGAGACTTTTGCGACAAGGAAAATTAGTTCTAGATTCATAATTTTACTGACAATGTTGATGAACTCAAGAAGAAAATATCAGAAATTTAAGCAGATGGAGGAGGAGATACAGCTGAGGATGTGACTGGAGCATTAGAACAGGGTCTGAAATTTAGTTTTAATAATGAAGGCATTAACGTTTGCTTTCTGTTAAGTGATAGTCCAACTCATGGAAAATAATATCATAATGAAGACGGCTTTATTGGAGATGACCTTAAGGACTCTATAATAGACGGCAGTCTAGAGGAGACTGTGAAGAAATACAATAATATCCACAATTTGGACTTCTACTGTCTATACATCACCAACAAAACTATCAAGATGTACAATGTTATCAAAGATAACTTGAAAAAGTGTGTTATTACAGATAAAATAGATCACAAATAGCTATTTATGACTGTAAAAAATTCTATTCT